CCCCCCCCCCACCCCCACTTCCCACGCTGTGTCGTACAAAACGAAGTACTCCTTGGCCCCAACACCTCATTTTCCATTTCTTTCGTCATTTTGGAACTGAAGATTGCTGATGATCCGACTGTCGTCTTGGCCGTTCGACCAGCGTGCCGTGAAATAGTCTGTCCTGTAGGTTTTCCCAGCCTCTACGGGGAACAGCAAGTATTCTTTGTAGATGAGGAGCTTTCGTTATGTTCTGTTGCCCCCATTAGTATTACGAGCACCCGCCCCATGTGCGCGTTTCTTCGAGAACGACGCCGTGCCGCCTGGCCCTTTGTCTTAGGTTTGTTCCCCCACACGCACTCTTCGTCACCCCTGTCATGTGTGCGAGGTCACTGCGGTTTTTGCCCTATTGTTGTGTTTTTTTTTTTTTTTCCTCGATGCCCTCGTGAAAATTTTCTGCAGGTTCTCGAAACTTTGTGGTCGTCTATTTTTTGTACGCCTTGCTTCCTTCCTTGTTGATGAAAACCAGACGTGCTTCACGTCAGTTGTAATAGTGATGCTAGACAGGATCGATCGACGCTGTTCGTACGGACATGCGAAATGGTGACGGGATTACCCTCCGAATCCGCGTTGCCCCTCCTCTGCCTCCCCTCATGGACCAGTTGACGCACAACCCGTCATCTCGAGCCTCCGCCACGGGGCCTTTTTTTCACAACAAGTCCACCTCTTCCACAGATAGTCTATGTGGATAGATCAGCAATGAATTCAATTCTAGCATGAGCGGGCCTTGTCAGCATGGCTACCTGATTCGGTGGTGCGCGTGTTCTACCTCTCTTGTAACTTTCTGCCTCCCCCTCCTCTCCGGGCTTTCATGGCGAAAAAGGCGGCCTACGAAGCGGCGGTGCAAACGGGCATTGTGGTGCCGACCAAAGACCCTCCCGGAGACGCGCTGGCAAGGGCGACTCTCAAGCGACCGGACGGGTCGGCGCTGCTGCTCATGCACGAAGCCATCGGAAACCTAGTTCAGGCCAACGGTGCCCTTTGTCAGGTATAGCAGTACTGCAGCAGCGTGTTCTCGTTGATTGTTTCCCGCTTGTCCGATCGCTTCAACGTTGCTCCGCGACAGGGTGCCTAGGACTGTGCCTTCCATAGCCGTACAGTAGGATTGTTTTTTGTTCCATTCGTGCGTGCGTCATTTGACCTGTTCGTACCGCGTTTACCTAGGAGGTTGTCGACCATCGTTCGGTATTTTTACTGTCCGTAAGATGGCGTTCAGTCAAAGGGGTAATCGAGGAGAAAGCAACACCTTTCGAGGCAAAGCAGGCTGCCACCATCTTGTGATGCGGTATTGAATTCCAGCACAGAGCCAGCCAACACCGCGCCCCATTTGGCGGACAGCTAATGGATGCAAGTTTCAGCGTTCCCGTCAAAAGTTCCACTTGGATCAAAACAACGGCAGTGATGTTGCACGATGATGGGCCGTTGTTTTCCCCCCAGGAGTCATCGTCAAACGTTCGCGCGTGCGGGGATCATTGTTGTTGATTGATTCTTTACATGCCGTTCGTGAGACCATCCCCCCCTTCCCTCCATGCGCGCTCGCTCACACATGTTGACCTACAGATGATCTCCTGGGAGAAGGCCAAGGTCAAGGCGCTCCGGGAGCAGGTCCGCAGCCTCGGGGGTAACCCGGACGTGCGCGCGCGGGCGCCGTCGGCGGCGGCGGGGCAGAAGGCGGGGCGCCGTGATGGGGGTGGCGAAAGCGAAGGCCAAGGAGCGGGCAAGAAGGCTATGGGGGCTGTGGCTGTGCCCGCGGCAGGCGGTGTTGTCTCCAAGGCCGGCGGCAGCAGCCCGTCTGCCGCTGGTGGTGGTGGTAGTGCGGCGCAGTCTCTCGGGGGGGGTAGCGGAAGCGGCGGTGGTAACGGCAGCCGTTTGGCGGTGGCGAAGACAAAGGGGGCTCGAGTGAAGGCGGGGGGATCGGCGGCGGCGGCGGCGGCGGTGGAGCCGAAGGCAGCGGCGCCAAGGGGCAAAGGCAAAAAGAAAGTGAACGCCGCCGCCGCCGCCGCCGCCGCCACCACTGCTGCTGCCGCCGAGGCCGAACAGGAGGAGGAAGAGGAAGGCTCCAGCACGGACACGGGGGAGGGGGGGGAAGGGAGTTCCAGTGACGAGGAAGGGGGGGAAGCAGAAGGCTCTACGCAGATCGACGAGGGGCAAGAGGAAGAATCTGACGACGACGACGACGACGACGACGACGAAGATGATGATGCCAAGACCACCTCTTCTTCCGCGGCCTCCGCCGCCGCCGCGGCCGCTCGCGCTCCGTCGCCCGCGGAAGCGGAAGACGACGAGGACGACAGCAGCAGCAGCAGCAACGGCAGCAGCGACGAAGATGATGCCGATGAGGCTCTAAGGGAGTTGGCACGGCGGCCGGCCGTCGCCGCCTCCGCTTCCGTTGGAGCGGAGGGGGAAAGCTCTAGCGACGACAGCTCTGACACGGATAGCGAGTGATCGCCGCTATCTACCAGCTTCTTGCCAATGTGACGTGGCGTTGGACGTCTAGGTTGTTGCGCCTCGTGACTGGTATTGAAAACGGGTGGTAATTCGAAGTTTGGAGCCGAGCCGACCAGCAGCCGTCGCCTGTGATTGTTTTTGCCTCTAGAGGCGCGCCGTGTAATAACGGAAGGGGGGGCTCCTATTGGGCTTTCGCTTCGCTTCGGTTGATGTTTCCTGAGGACACCGTTATGTTGCCATGCCTGCTATCGGATTTCTCAGCCTTAACCCCGAGTCTCTAGTTGGTTTGTGCATACGTTATCCGGTATGATGTTTACGTGTGAGTGGTGAAGTCGTCTCCCAGTTTGTTGTATACGGATGGGGTTGCGTCTGTTGCTAAGTTTGAGCACTGTTAGGGTGAGGGCATGTCCGCCCCACTCCTTTTTTTTTTGTTCCGACAACACATCAGTAAGAGAAATGCAGCAAAGCACGTTCTTATCGAATATCACATTGGTGGCATCTGGTGTGGTTGTGACTTGTGATACTGGTACAGCCCGGAACACGTGACCTTTGAGACCAAGTAAGGCCTCCTGACGCAGCTTAGGGTCGACCCGGTCGTCTTGCTTCTTCAGCGGAGGATAGGAAGGATTGCAGCGCACGCACACACCGACCGGTGGGGTCAGCGGTGATGGGGTGAACGGTCCTGACGCCAGAGGGAAACCGCGGTGATGGCCATCTCCCTGCCTTCGCCTCTGTGTGATACTTTATTGCTAATAAGCCGCAGGCCCCACCCGACGGGGCAAGATCAGATTGCATTACGGGAGTGAATGCGGAATACCTGGAGGGCAGTAGTCATGGAGGTCTCACCATGATACACTCCCAAGCCGGTCACCCGCCGCAACGATGAAGGTTTGAGACGTGATGGGTGTGGGTTTTCGGGGGCGGTCAGTTCACGTCATCGTCAATATCAATCACACTCAACGGGGGCAACATGTCTTTTGTAATGGTGTATATTCAAACGTCGGTCAACCAGGGACGGCCACGGGGGGCCAAGTTGGCATCCTAACTCAATGGTACTGAATGGTTTGTGTTTGCCGGATCGGTGATGAATATTGTCGTGGGTCGTGGGTAGCAATGCTCCGAAATGACAGTCTGGACTATCGCGAAATGGTTGCTTGAGGGAAAATGTCATACGATAATGTCGTAGGAGGTCCTTTCTACTGGGCTCGCCCTGCAGTAAAAATCGTAAATATATTCAGGAATATATACATTCACTCCCGATCCAAGCTTTAGTGTGAATGTCGAAGACATGTGAACAGACCATCGTAGCGTCAACGAAGGTTGCCGGCTGTTGGAACGAAACACCACCTTGATCGATCGGTTCTCGTTGAGCGGCCGCGGTAGCAGCCGGTGCCTCCAGAAACGTGACGATGTGAACGGGGAATGTCACACTTGTGAGTTTGAAGGGAAGCACTTTGCTACGGTGTCCAAAAGGGATACGTGGCAGAATGTTATGAGGTCGACCGTCTTTCTGAGTACAGTTCACCGCGCTTCGTCTTGGTGCGGAATGAAATATTGGGTCAAACGGATAAATGTAGGAAATAAAAATAACGTGTTGGCCTCTCGCTCGGAGTGATCCGGAAGGAAATAATGGTCAAGAAGAACAGCGTCAAACGTTGTCGGCGGAGTTACCCGCGAGCAGCGCATATGAAAGATGAAAGAGTCTCTACACACTTCTTAGGAAACAACCGCTGTGTGAGAAGGCAGACAAACAAATATCGAGAGCAGTGGTCTCCGAAACAATTCGTTGACGAAGCGGTAGAGTCGTTGATTTTCACGAAATGAAATGAACGGTGTGAGCGTTCGAAAATTCGGGCGCCTTGCTTACCTTTTTCGGTCTGGAAGGGAGTAAACCCAAGCCTCTACCACCGATTAGGTAATACTGGTATATTTGATATCGACCCATATCCGACATCGACCCGTTGAACTCTACATACATAGTCTACGTGGTAGTAGTCTACATACATCCAGCACGATATTTTCATTCATCATCTGTGGCATCTTTCTCAGAGGCATATTCACTCATGCGAATGAACATGAACACCTCTAGTAATATTCTGCACAACCCAAACTGACATGGCAACCTGGTGCTGGTCACACACTGGACGGCGAGGTAGTTTGGATCACATCTGGTGGTGTTGCCGGCACAACAAAAACTTTTACCCGGCCCTTTCTCGGACAAAAGTGGGTACTCAGAAATCCAGCTCGCGAGAGCTCCGTCCGAAGGCAGAACCCCAAACGCCTCAAAACCCAACTCTAACAACTGAACAACGTAGCCAGGGACCATACACAGCCCGGTGATGTTGTTTTGGACACGGAACGAACGCTTCCGGACATCGGACAATCGACCTCCACGTCACCGCATGGCACAACATTGAATAGCCTTGTTGTTGTTGTTGTTGTTGTTGTTGTTTTTCTTCACATTAAACTCGTGTCAGTTGCTAATCCCAAAATCTAGCAAAGACTCGGTCCGTAGTCACAAAAATGCTGGAGCCATCAGAAGATCTAAAGAACACACACAATTAGCAAGAAAAGGGTACGCAAGCCCGAGGAGGTACACCTGCAACCCCTCCAGCACGTTTGCTTGCTCACAACTGAACTACACGCCCACACACTATAAATCGACTACATGTGCTGTCTGTACCATAATAACACCATGGTGCATGGTACACAAGCTCGGGGCATGCAGCTGCTGTCTGAAGTGCTGTCAGAATGAGTCCGTGGACATACAACGAAGAAGATCACCCAACCAAAGCCATCATTGCAATTGACAATAACCCGAACGAATGAATCTATCCAGATCACTTGTGTTAGGCACAGCAGTGCAAACATCGACACTGACTAGAAATCGTTCCACAATTAAAAGCACCCGGTACACAATTAAAAGCACCCGAGTTATCCGCGCCATCTCGGCCGCGTCTCTACAAAACCAGTGACGTCTTCACATTCACCCAACCCCTGTATTCAGGGAAATAACGGAAAAATAATAATTGATAACACACGAGATGTTTGTCCGTGCGCCACGGTTCGATGCCGTCCGCCCGCTCCGGTTCCGCTGCTCCGGTGCCGCTGTGGCCAGTCCTAGCACGACCAAATTCGACCCGCTCCGCTTCGTACACGCTCTCGTTGCTGTCCATCCCAGTCGGTTCCTCGCTTTCTCCCTCGTTGCACTTACGGTTCTTGGTCTAAAAACTCTCGCGCCGAAGGGTCAACCAGCCCAATCAGCTCGTCACCACCTGTTCCCTCCTCCTTTGATGGCAAAACCAGGTTACTGAGACGGTATACAGCTACCTCTAGCAAAGCTAGGGCCGTGTACATAGTGCCCGTCCACCTTTCTGATGACGTCTGCCTCCGCGCACAAGGATGAGATGGGCATTGCTGCCTACACCGACGGCCTGGAGGCCCGCGCATCTGCACCTTTTTACCTGACGCACCAGTGCCGACCCAACTCCACCACTTGTCACGCCTCGCGGCGGGTGCGCCGCAGCAAGAAGGTATCGGTCCCTTGAGGGTGAGTCTAGCCCTGCTCGCTAGAAAGACCCCCCCCCTCGCTATGGGTCATGTACGCAAACCTTCCCGAGGCAGCGAGGGGAAGAAAGGGAGGTGTGGGGTCGAGCCTTGGAACGTCACAGAACATGCATCCATCTTTCGTATTCAGGGATGGATACCGACTGCGAAGGAAACGTTACGCCTGCAACCATGATGCCGCCAGCAACTGACGGAGGTGCGCCCGCGCTTGGCCCTGCGCGGGCGCGCAGTAAGGGAAAATTCCTCTACATGCTGCCCTCACGGGTCGACGCACTCGGCGTGTGGTGTTGTGTGTGTGGCTTTGGGGCTGTGCTGTTCTCTTGTACGTCTCTTGTTCTGTATGCGCGGTCCGTTGGTTTCGGGTTGTCCGTTGTGTGTCACGGACTATTTGTTGCGTGCCGTGAGTGCGCTGCTTGCCGGACATCTTCCCGTGCCGTGCGATTGCCGTTGGAGACCGAAGGGTTCTGGCGGTCTGGAATGTTCTGACGTGTTCCCTGCGGAGTCGGTCCGCAGTCGGAATACTTTTTCTTTGGAAAGGTGCCATGGATATGAAAGATGTCATGGATGCGGTGTTGAGGAATTCTGAGACGTTCCGAGGCTATTCCACATGTTCTGGCGTGCGCTGCTTGCCGGACATCTTCCCAGGAGACCGAAGGGTTCTGGCGGTCTTGAATGTTCTGACATGTTCCCCGGGGAGTCGGTCCGCAGTCGGTATATTTTCCCCTCTGGCCCCATCCTCCACTTCTTCCTGGCTAGACGGCCCAACCGGGGTCACTCACGCAGGAGGGGGGGGTTGCACCCCCTCCTGCGGTTCCTGCCTGAAATTTTTTTATCGCGAGAAGGGTAGACTACAGCAATCCCTTCCCTCGCGACCTATGAAGTCGATCAAGTTTACTAACAACGCGCTGTGCAGCGCATCGCTTCCAACGGAGACCAGTCTCACTCTCCTTGGAGATCTTGTTGTTCGTTCGTATGTAGACAAACAACATGCTTGCTTGTCCCTTTTCTCATTCCCTGTGAGCCTGAAATCTTCGCGTTCTTCGCGACGCCAAATACTAGGAGAAGAAGTTGTTTGCGACGATTACAGTCTACTACAGTAGATATCCGAATGGCGTGGGGAACAACAGACGCACAGCAGCGTGTTTTGCAGCAAAGTATCAAGGGTTGCCGCACTGGCTGGGAGCCGCGTGTCGGGCGCGCAGCGTGTGTACGGCAACAATTGATGGGAACCGACCAGCGTGGTATGCCCACGTGAGCAGCGATGTTGCCGAAGTGAGTCGGACATGCGTACGCTGATTCGAATATAGAGTGTGGATCCACGTCTGACACATAGCATACATATGGGAGAGCGAAAATAGCCTGAGCATGCATAGCCTGAGCTTGATATAGCCCGAGCTTGTCGACCTACCTGCTACAAGAGAAAAGGACGGAATAACTTTATGGTGCCCCCCCCGCTTTACAGAGCAGGGCAAAACTGGGGAACCGACCAGCGCGGTATCCTCACCGCAGCCGCGATTACCTCGATATGATTTGGAGATTCGGAGGGATCATGGGCTGCGGTGCTCGAAATGATTCAGATTGATGGGTGCGGAGACGACTCTGTTCAGTAGTGGGGGCGCACATCCGACGAGCCCGGCATGAAAGCGGAAAACAATCCATCACCCGAACGAACTGTCGATTTGCCACAAAATCAAACAACGGTGCAGTGTTGTGTTTCCGTCCTATTTATTACGGCGACAGTCCCCCCATTTTTCGTGGTGAGACGTGTACTACACGTTTCAGCGTATGTAGGTTACCACACTTTTCAGTGCATTTTTTCGTACAACTACAACCATCCAGGGTCACACAGGACGGGGTAAACACCAGGGCTTTTTTCTTCCTTTTATTTCTTTTCATGCCCCACCTTTCTCCTGCGGTGCGTGCTGATTTTATTTTATCGCGAGAAGGGTCCATCCAGCTGTCCCTTTCCCTCGTCAACGGTGCTTACGTCGAAGTTTGGTACTCACGAGAGCTTTTTTTTAAGCTATATTTCGCTTTCACCCCCAAATGTCGTAATTTTTTCACCCCATGGGGATTCGAACTGTACTATGCAAGGGTCGGTTTAGTACAGTACAGTATTTTTAGTGCAGTACCGATGTTGTTGTTGTTGTTGTTGACTTCACATTAAACCGTATGCCAGTTGCTAAATGCCAAAATCTAGCAAAGACTCTCAGCCCGTGGTCACGAAAGTGCTAGAGCCATCTGAGGATCTAAAGAACACGCACACGTAGCAAGAAAAAGGTGTACAAGAGCCCGAAGAGGTACTACTACACCTATATATAGTCCCTGCAGCACCGTACGCGTGCCCAAAACTGAACTACACGTCCGTCTCACCGTTCGACTACAGCAACATCACCCCCTACCTGTCCCACTCTGTACCAAAACGAATGATTGCCGACTACAGCATACTTGCTGTCTGAAGTGCTGTCTGTACAAAAACACCATGGTAGGCATGGAACAAGAAGCTGGCGGGGCACAAAGCTGCTGTCTGAAGTGCTGTCAGAA